ATCTATATAATTTTTCTATACTATCTCCAAGTTAAGTAAAAGAAATTTCTTCTATTATAGTTCTATGCTTACTCTGTTTTATCAACCAATTATTTTATTCTTTTGTAACAATCAAAAAGATAACTTCATCTATATAGTTGCACATAACTTTGATGATAATCAAATTGTTGAATATATATTTGTTATTAAACTGTTATTCTATGCTTATACAACGATAAATGCGTTTGTCACATTGTTTTCAATGGGAAAAAAAGAGACTCATTATTTGAAAAAGTTAATTATGAACAAATTTTTCTTTTGATATTCATATCAATGAAATATGAAAAAGATTTTTAATTTAAAAACAAATAAAGATTTATTAACACGTATTTTACTTACTTCATTATATAATATTTCGATGTTAGTCTTTCTGGTTGTTGTTATTTGCAATGAATAACCTTGGCTTCGTCACCAACGTTAAAATTCAATCACTTTCATTTTCTTTTTCATTCGTTTATATCGCCTTTTTTTTTTCAAAAATTCATTGATGTTCTTCTGCCGATAAAAAAAATGTGTTTCTTCCTGTTCTAACCTTGATCAATCGTAACAGGACAAAGATCATTAAAATTTGCTTTTTCGTCTGAATAGCATAATGTTGTTCATTCAAATAAAATTCTAATTACTTTCTGTTTCTTGATTATTCTTTTAATTTATGCAGTTTCAACTGAATGATTCATTATATAAGATAATGTAGTCAAAATTACAAAATAGAATATACGATTGAGAGAATATATACTAATAAAAACTTTTCATACGGCATCATCAAGTAAATAATTATTAAAACAACACTTTCTTATTTATATATCAATTATCGAGTAAATGAGTTTTTCTTTAGTTTAAAATAACATTTTTATGGCTTTTATGTTGTATAGAGAAACATTTAAAGCGTTTTATTATAATAATTCATATATTACTTACCTAGAAAATACATCGGTTATCTAATAAAATAGATAAAGATGATTTTATATAAATTTAACTCATATTTCGATGAAAAGTAAGTAATGTAGTTATACGTTGAAAATTTTAATTTTAATGGAAATTTTCGATCTTCATTCGATCATTATCAACCTTTAACACGACCTGATGATACAAACACAAAAAGTTACACGAAAAATATATGAAAAAAGATCATATAATAATAAGTATAGATTATCTTATATGTAGTCATCATTTAAACATAAACATCATAAACATGAACATGAATGGTTCTTAAATTCATTCCACAAATAATTATACTCAATTTGTTTAATACTACTTATATGCATCATTAATGTATGAATATCGATAATCTTAAGATCTGTTGTAACATCTTGTTATAAGGTTGTGGTAAAAGGTTGATAATGATCGAACAAAAATCGAAAATTTCCATTAAAATTAAAATTTTCAACATTAACTACATCACTTACTTTTCATTTAAATTAATTAAAATCTCAAGATTATTATTTTTCATATTTCGAGCATAGATTATTGAATATAAAACATTCGCATGAAAATAATATGTTCGTTTACCAGTATTATAGTTATGTGTAATCAATTTAATACATTACAGTAATAAATATTTATTTCATTTCGCAGGTTGATAAAATAAAATGGTACATTGATAAAGAACTCTATATAATCGATATAGAATATCCAATAATTGACTATTTATTTTGAGAATAAAGGTTAATACTCTATCTTTTGTCTGGTGTATTGAAGCGAGGAAAATGATTTTGACTAAAGATAAGCTATTGATAGTAGTAATCACATGATATATTTTACTATTGTGTAACCCAAGGGCATTCATCAATGAATCGTTACATTGTATATTATCAACACGTGCGACTAATAAATAATACGATTAATATTATAGTTTCGCAATTGTGTATATAGATAAATACTTGGATCAATTGATCATATATAAAATATGGTTATATTAATTGGTTATCAAGAAGCTGTGGATAAATTATCAACTGCAGAAGTCGCTTTCGTTGGTCGATTAACAAGTGTTACTCCAATTTTATCGGTACGTTCAAACCCACCTGTAGAACATTATACACTTAAATTTGAAAAAGAATTACGACCATTAAAAGGTTCGATATCAACTATATATGAATTTCATTATCAACAAAAATTAAAACAAGAACAGATATCAAATGTTGATGGTCATTTAGATCCTATTGTTGATTTAAAAGCACCACATCCAGATCTATTTTATGTTGCTATACTTCATGCTGATGATAATACGATAAAAACTTTAATAGAAATTGATGAACAAGATTTACCAATGTTTCATCCATCAACAAAATAATCAAAATTTGTATTAAACACTATTTTCTCTTTTTGATTTTATTTAATAAAATATTTTACTTCTATGAGATCTTTTGATAGAAGAATTACATTTTATCATATATACAAAGATTAATCTACGACGTTGAAGAATAAATAATTAAGAAAAAGAAATGATAACGTAGACGATATTGCAGTATACATTACATAAGCATACGATTGAGTTGATTTATACAATAATAAACGATCTTTTCGTCGAGAGGATTTTAGAAGCAGTAATAATAAAAAAAACATATAGATTGAATTGATGCTTAATATTCTTCTATACTCTTCCTATGTTTAAATAAATTAGTTCAATTTTATTTTCAAGAAATGAAATTATGTTAGTGGAAAGAATATCGTTCTAATGCTTCGTTTTTCTTTAACAGTATTTGATTACAATTCCTATTTTTATTCTATACTTGGAGGGTGGAAAATATTATTTGAAACTGAACAGTTACTGATTGAGCAGATAAAGTATTGTATCTCATAAAGCAATAGAGTATAGAAGTTTTTTTTTAAATATTTTTATTGAATAAGGAACTATTAAATCTATTACAGAAAGTATTTTGTAATGGTATTTCACTTTAAAACCTTCGTCTTGATTGGATTGTTATTTTAGACACATCGATTGTTTATGCACATAAAATACTAAGATAAAATCAACTGAAAGTTGAATTGTTGAAAGTAAACAATATTAATTAGTTATATACAACATGCGAAACTTACGTTTGTCAATACACACAAAATGCAAGAAAAAGACATGTCATATCGTTGACGTTAATCAGATCGATTGGGCGAACATAGAATATTTTAAATTTATTAGTCAAAATAATCTGACAGATTATGTTATACCTTTTGCATGAGAGAGAGATAGATGAATCTTCAGATTCACTATAAATCATTGATCTCATACAGGATGTCTAATTCATTATACTACGGAATACTATTTAACACTTATTGCTTAGTTTTAAACTGGCATATTATTGTAAGTTTAACAGATATGTTTGGTTCATTAAAAACTGATGAAGAATTAAACTTGTCAATCACTTATTCAAATATGATTATGTTCTCCTAAGGTTTCGAATCGAACTCATTGGATAACGTTAGTATTACTTCACATCGAAAAATGATCGACAACTTTAGAATTTGAGTTATACAGTATGTAACATAGAAATTAACAAGATTTTATAATAAGTGGCTTATTAAGAATAATTGTCGATACTTTTCTTTTGAGATTTATAAGATACAATAAAACATGTTTGATCTTGTATAAAAAGAAGCTTTTAAAAATCAATCGAATAACCGGTTTATTTAATAAGTTTTAATAAAATTCAAAATAATATCATATTGTTCATTTCCACTAAAAAACATATAGATAACCATTTCTCTATGATTTCTACGAGGAATTTCATAAAATTCTACAGGTACTTGTTGTGAACTTCTTAATTTTCCATATAAACGTCTATTATGTTGTTGAATTGATGGATAAGTTCTTTCACCAACTAGAATAAGATGTGGATTTCTTATATTTCTCCAATAACGCATTGGTGATGCTCGTTTCCAAATTTGAGGATCATTAGAAAATACTTGTATAAATGTATTATAATATCTATCATTACTCGATGATGGTTGACTAAGATATTGATACATATCAAGACCGAATGCATCAAGTAAAATAATTCCATAAATTGGATTTTCAATTCTATATGGACTAAAAAATCGCCTATCAGAATTTATTAATTCTATCAAATGTCCACCAGCTGAATGACCCATAAGAAATATTCGATTTGGATTTCCACCATAATTTATTATATTTGTATATACCCACATGACAGCTGCAGCACCTTCTTGAGCTATTCTATATATTGGTGTAGGTGATAAACTGTAATTGAAAATAACAGTAACTAAACCTCGATGTACAAAATTTCGTCCAATAAATCTATATGTCCCTTTTGCTCCACTTGCCCATGCACCACCAAATGCAAATACAAGAACATCTCGTTGAAAATCTTTATTTGAATAATAAACATCTAGTTTATTTCTTTCATTTTGTGTATCACTCGTATAACTAATATCACGTTCTTCATGTACCATTGTTCGTTATGTAAAATAGTGTTGAATAATTAAATGTATACTTATACGTTATATAATTTGACTACTAAGATCAATGGGTTTACAAACAATAAATATTCGACAGGAATGCGTAGGTATATATCATGTTTTTATATGATGGTTGAAGAATATGTCAGATTTGCTTGAGAGAACACATACATGTGTAATTTTTACGTATTACTCTTTCTGACTATCGAACAATATTTTACGTAGAAGTGTTTTTTCTCTATGTGTGTTACTATATTCTCTTATTGTTAGCAGTAAAAATTCAGTATTTAGTTTAGTTTTATTTTTGTCATTAGTTTTAAATTGAAAATAATGAATATTCATCTATTATTAGTCGTTTTATGAAAATTACAATTGGTTTTGAATATTAATACGATATGAATTTTGAAAAAAAAAAAGAGGTCACTGATCGTTAAATATGGAAAGAGATGAAGTCAGTTGTTATAGGAATGATTCTATCGAATGGATATAAATGGTAATAATAGAAATTAAAAACTTCTTCTGCTTATTTATTTTACTTTAATCGATAAAAAATGACCGAAAAGAAATCGGCGACTGTGAATAATTCTATTACTCAATCTAAACCAATTGCAGTGAAACAGGAAGCACCAATTCTAATTTGGTATAATAAAAATAATGATGAAAAAAAATCAAGAAGGTATTTTTACTTATTTTAATAACTCACAAGAATGTATTCAAACTATTGAACAATCAACAAAATCAATTTTTCTTATTTTAAATAGTTCATCTGCTACAGATATACTTTCTCGTACTCATTCATTAAAACAAATTGATACAATTTTTATTCATTGTCAATCATCACGAGAACAACAAAGATGTCAATATCTTCTTGAACATTATTCAAAAATATTTGATTTATTCTTAGATCGACAACTCTTACTTGATACTATTCAAGAAAATGTTATTCTCTATCAACATCAATCAGGCAATGAATATCTTCGTTCAGCTGAACGTTATAAACAACAAAATCAGTTAAATCATGCACTTAAATATACTCATAAAGCATTGGATATTTATCGAAAAACACTTCCCAATCAAAATCATCCATTAATCGCTAGATGTTTAAATAATCTTGGTACAATTTATGATGCACAAGGAGATGTTAATCGATCATTTGAATATTATGAACAAGCTGTTAAAATGTATAGAAATATATCGCCGGCTTTATCAAAACAATCAGTGCCAAATTTATTAAAAAAATAAACATGTATAATTAAACCTTAAACTTATAAATTATTTGTAATTTTCTAATAAAATTTTTTTATCATTCAATGATTTAGATAGCATCTTGCAAATATGATAATGAAAGAGTGTGAATGGGAGTTATTTGATATGTTTTATTTGTTAGTTAATTACAACAATCAATAGCATATATTTAGGAATCATTAAATTGTTTTTCTATTGGTAATGCTGAAATCCATCCAAGACATGGACGAAGTGCACCTGTTTTAGAATTTTGACCAATACCTAAAAATCCAGCAATGAATTTCATTTTCGTTTCATGTCCATTATCATCCAAAATAAAATCTGTTTGAGTTACACTTTCGTAAAAATCACAAAATTCAATACCATTGATTACACCCTACAAATAAATAACATAATCAATTTTTATTATATGAAGAAAATATATACTTCACGATAATGGTGACGATCGCATCGAGCTTTGCGGTAATGACCTTTTCCATCCAATGTGTATCTACAAAATAAAAAATCAAACAAGTAACGCTCGTCTGAAGACTCGCTTAGCTCTTTCTCGTAGAAATCCATTTTCTTCAGGTTTACTGGAAAAACAAATAAAAAAAGTAAAAAATTGATTTTCGATGTTTTTTTGACCTTTGAGTCCCCTTCGCCGCTACCCTAACCTTGATCACCCGACAGACCTCAGATTCAAACTCCCGTATCGAAAAACCTCTAGAAATGTCTTTTCCTGAAAGTTGGTTTTCGATGTTTTTTTGACCCTCCGGACATACAAGCAAGCAAGCAGACAATTTATGTTTACTGGACTCTTCTCTACGAGAAAGAGAATAAGCACATTCTTTTTTTTACTTATATTAAAATAATCTTACGGTATAAAATCAGCAAGCCATCCAGATAATAAACTAACACCAGATCCACCTCCTAATTTATGACAAATTTTATGCCACCAATCGATATCATGTTTTCCTTCAGCACTTGCTTTTAATTCTTTCAAATGAGGTAAAAGTGTATCTAACCACCAATGAAAATCAGTAAAAATCATTCGAAGTTGATTAATTCGATCAATAACCTGTTGAAAATCATCTGGCGAACCACGTAATGTTACTTGTGGAATACCACAACGTAAACTAAATCGATGATTATAATAAGATTTTACACTATCCATTAATGTACAATCAAAAACAGCTTGTTCAACTGATGTTGTATTAGAGAAAGGAGTAGTTAATATTGTACTTAAATCTGTTTTCATATCTTTTTTAATTAATTCTCCCATTTGTCGAATAGCAGCTGACCAATCAATAGCAGGTACAGATTTATTTCCTTCTTTCGGTCGATCAGAATCTAGTATTCGAAGACTATCTACGAACAGTTCCAATGTCTTTTTTCCTTCATGTGTTACCATTAATTCTCGATATTTTTCAGCATTTTCATTTAGATGAATACTAATACCTTGTTCAATAGCAACCCAAATATCTTCTACACTTATTTCAAGTGGATAATGTTCACAATATGCTTTGTATACAGTAGCAACAAAAGCATTACTAATTCGATGATTACTTCCATTAAGATCAAAACCTAATGGATAATTTGTTTGAAAATTTTCAAGTAATAATGTTTGATCTTTCTCTCCCCATCGATCTAAATCTGCTTGATATAATTTAGTAGTTTCAATATGTTTCTGCGTACAGATATCGACATCAGCAACAACAAATGTAACAGAAGCCATATATTTTTATAAAAATATTGAAAGAAAAAATTAAATAACGTTTATTATTGTTTCTATTCTATTCTTACAAAGAACACTGATGATTCAGCTTCGATATAATAAGTTAATTTCATCAATATTGAGCAATATCGCACATGGTATTTGACATACATTCATATATAAGATAAAAATAACAACAACTTTATTTCGTACTGGTTAAAAAATATAGTAATATACAAATGAAGAGACTATTGCAAAAGAGGTCGCAAGTAAAGATAAATTTTGATTGATATTCAATATATATATGTATGAAAATATTCATTTGTATGAATAATATCTATGATTTATACTGAATTTAAAAAAAGAACATTGAAATGTGTTTTAGAAGTGAATGACAATATATATGTATAAAAGAAAGCTTCATTTATAATATATTGAGTTTATTTTTAAAGGAGAATAATTTTATTTCATATGTTATTGTATCATTGTAATTATGATTTCATATACACGATATAAATTGTAAAAATTACTAATTATGAAGGAATCTTTTTTCATACAAAAAATTAAAAAAAATAGTTTGAATGCTAAGCTATATTGTTTTTTTTACATGTGATCGATACACTTTTACCAAGTAATTGATTGTTACCAGGTAAAGGAATTAATACTCTTGTACCACTTCGTAAATCCCAATGATTGCTATTTGTACATTCATGTGATACAATACTAGATCGATTGACATGGACGATAAATGTACCTATTGCTATTGTAGGATGTGCTGCTGTAATCGTAAAACTATTGGAATTTTCACTAAATAAAATAGCACCTGGTTGTTCCATATAAATACTTAATGACATACTACTACAATTATAATATGCAATACTACTATTAGTAAAACCTTTATCAAATAATAAAACTGAAGCTCGTTGAAGAAATGGATCACAAGTACCATGAAGATATAATGGTTCATTATTCTTATTTTGCAAATATGTTAAAGCATGTGCACTATTTCCTATAGACAAATAACGTTCCCATAATCTTGTCATATCTTCTACAGTTACATTAGGCATAATCATGTATCGATAATGTAGTGGGTTAATTGTGGGTCCTCTACCATGTATGATAATAGCTGTAAGTAAACGTCCTACCATTTCAAAATTCCATGGACCGAATTGATTAACATTACCAGATTTATTACGACAGTCAATGATGAGTGTTTCATATTCTTCTAAAACTGACCATGCTGTACCATCTGCATGAAACCATAATATACGTGGTTGATTATATGAAAATGAGTAAACACCATCGGGCAATACCATTCTTGTTCCATTACTCCATTGTAAAGTTAATATACCACTTATCGTATTAGCTGCAGGTAATAATCTACTAACTAGAGCTGTTTGTAATAATGCAGTAGTATTATCTTCAATACCATTAGCTAATGCTATGATATAGGTATCATAAAAATGCCATGTACGTTTAGCCGTCAAATTGTGTGTTAAAGTATCCATTATTGCTGCCCCATACATCGAATCACTAACACCACCAACAAATGTTGTATTTAACATAGGAAGTGCGCCTCTATCACAATGATTTAATGGTGTATCAGCTTCAACTGTAATACCGTTAATAGCTTGCCAATCAAGTAAAGCAAATATATTTTCATATTCTTCACCACCACCATATTGAGCATCACGAGTATACAGATTCAGTACACCATCACCTATATGCTCACCTTTTAAATTTTCATTATTATCACATTCAGATGCAATTACTCGAGCAGAATGCATCTTTAAAGCAGCTGTCCAATTAACTCTTCGATGTACTTGAAAGTCACTAGTATAAAAATGACGATTTCCTATTAGAGGTGTTGCATCATGACGATGTTCAAGTCGATCAGCATAATCACAGAATGCGATAGCAGTAGAATTATCAGTCATATCCATTGCTAATTCACGTAATTGATCCGATGGAAATAAATGTGTATACCAAACATGAACTCCACGATCAATGACACGTCCAATAAGAGCCCATGTCCAAACACTTCCCATAGTAAACCATGCATCACTTCGAGTTAAAAAACGACCAAAAGTTTCAATACGATCTTTAGATAAAGCATATTGTGTACCACGTGTTGCCATATGAAAATGTAAAATATTTGTAGCCCAAGCATCACCATATGCTGCAGGAAGTAATTGTGAACCATGAAAATGATATGACCAATCACTTTGTATACCCATAGTTGAAAGATTTTGTATTTGTACAGTTTGCCACATGAGTTCGAAACCTTGTTCAACTGCTGAATAATTTGATGTTGCAAGTCCACGATATAATTGAATTTGTAATTCCCAAACTAAATTCGCACCACCTCCCCAATCTTTGATCCACCAATTTGCACGATAAGACATATTAACAATTGCATCAATTTCATATTTAGTCATTCGTTCTACACCTAACATCAACATTATACCTGTAGCAATTAATGGATCTTGAATATAATTCCACCACCAATTTGGATTTTGCCAGTCTTGTTCGATCCATACTTTTAAAGCACAATGGATGCCTAATGATAATTTCGTATTGTTTATTAACCCACCAGGAGCGGTCAATGCTGAAGTCATCGTTGCGATACGAAACATATGTAAAACTGGATCCCAGTTTTCTGGACCACGTGTAGTATAATTTAGATCAGGCCATTGACAAGTATCGAAATTCAATGAACTTAAATTAGCCATGGCTTGTGTTATAACAGAAGACAATTGATCTGGTGAAGGCCATAGCATTATTTTTCGAACATTTTCACGTACGATACTCAAATCATCATTAGTTTGTACCGCTGTAGTAAAGGTAATAAAAAGCATTATTGTCAACAAAAATAATGAACATCGTGGGCTGATTGAATCAATGTATAACTTGTATTTAGTCATAATTATCCTTAATATTACATAAGTTATAAAATACAGGAAAGGATGTTTATCTATAAGACAAATAGTATTAATATAGATATTTCTACTAGAATATAAACATTTATGCAGTAAATTGGCAAACGTAGTTTTTTTGAGGATCTCCTTTTTTCAGGATATAACTGTGGTTGAAATACTAAATCAAGGACCTTGGTCTCCTAACCCTTGAGAAACTCATAATGAAAAAGCTTACCGTATCTTGAAGATATAACACAGGAGGAGAGAGAAACAACAATAACGACTGAATAAAACATAGAAAAAGAAATGACGCAATAATAGAAAAGAAAGAAAATCACATGATGAGCGATATAAATATAAATATATATATACGTTAGCGTCATGAAGTCCCATCCATGGACGCTAAGAGTTTTCGCCACTTTTTTTTGAATATTTTATCTACTGACATATCTATACTACGATTTTGTTATCAACTAACACCCCTACCATTGATAACAATATAATTCTAAATAAATTCTTCGTTTCTACTATGAATTATATTATGACATTTAGTTCTCAGCATACGTAAAACTTGATTATTCAGTGAGGATAGATTTACATATTAACTTTGATTTTCTATCAAAAAATATTATAATATTCGTGGACACTTTCTGTCAATTTTTGAAACAACAGTATTATAATTCACTTCATTAATAAAGATTATGTATTTTATAATATACAAAGCTATTTTCAAATTTAGTTTAACAAGTTGAAATAAAACAGAATTATTTTATATTCAGAATTCTCATCATAAAAAAGAAAAGAAGTCAACATAACAGCCTTTTTTTTTGTGCCACGTGTTAATCACAGAGAGACAGAAAGAAAAGAGTACACAGATAAAAAAAAGTGAGTTTTTTTTCTTCTCATCGTTGACCTTTCTGTTGGATGTATTTTAATACTTTATTTTAGTATAAGAACAGCATAGCATACAATATTAAAATTTATTTAATTATCAATAGAATTATTATGATATGTTTACCTTTTATAATTTAAAAAAGAAGTTAAAATTCAACGATCTGCAATCAATATTAAATGAAATTAAAATCATTTCGAATTAAAATATTTCTCATTTTAATATTAATTATTTATATTATCTATATTTTTCGTGAACAATTATTCATAAATTCTCCATGTTCACATCTATATAATATTAATTCATTTCAAACATGTGCTTTATCAAAGAATATTTGTAATATAACAATATTGTTCGATTCTTACATTGCTTATCGCAATTGTGTTATTAAATACTCATCTACTCAATCTGATTACGTAATATTTGACGCAGTGAATGGTTTAGGTAATCGTATTCTTGGTTTAATATCTGTGACGACTTATGCTCTTGTAACTAATCGAGTTCTATTAATTAATTGGCAGCCTGGTGATAATCATCCAGTTTATTTTGATGATCTTTTTTTACCTCTATCATCATTCGAAAAGAAAATTCCATATCAATATTCACTATCTCGATTAACAAGTCTTATTAAAAATCGATGGATAAATGATATTGAATTGAATAGATATAATAGTCAAATACCACAAGATTGGGCATTTTATTTTGATCGAGAGATTTTATGTAGTAAAAAACTATATAATCAATCATGGTTTCAAAAAATTGGATTCTATATTTTGAATTTATTTCATCGTCATGTTAAATGGATTCGAACTGATCAATATTTTGTACCATTATTAACACGAAATGAACAAATGAGACAAAATTTTGTACAAATTTTTCAAAATGGACAGATATTTGTTGAATTAGCAAGAAGATTATTAAAACCAGTATCAAAAGTAAATTTAATTATTGAAAATTTTCAAAAACAATATAATTTTGAAAAGAAAAATATAACAATTGGAGTTCATATGCGTAGTTGGTCATCAAATATGATCGAATATATTGAACCATTTCAAAAATGTATTGAACATGTTATACAAAATGTCACTAGGTAAATTATTGAAATAAAATCTTAAATGAAAAGAATTTTTGTATTTATAGATCGAGCAAAGAAGAGATTAAAATTTATTTGTATATTATTTCAAATACTCCGCAACGTCGTCAAAAATTAGAAAATCAATTATCAAAAATGTATAAAAATTTAGAAATATTAAAAGCATTCGAATCTCCAAAAAATTCTAATGTTGTAGAAAAAATGCAATATACTTTAGCAGAATTACTTATACTATCAAAAATGCATCATTTAATCATTACATCAAAATCAACATTTGGTATGGTCGCTCAAGGTTTAGCAGGTAAAGGTGCTTGGATAGTAAGACAAGGTGCGATAAATGAAGGACAATCGATTAAATCAAATCTTTGTCAATGGGAATCGACTAGTGAACCTGAATATCAAATGAAAGGTTCATTTCGAGATAATGATAGTTGTTCTCAACATGGTACATTCTTACCAAGTATTGGAGAAAGAACTGTTCTATAACTTTAATCGGTAAAAATAATGTATCTTCTATGTATACTTGTTATATTATTCTCAAATATTTTTTATACATTACAGTATTTGAATAAATTGTATAGAGAAGTATACATCGAATATATTTTCAGCTAACTGCCTTTTAGAAGTTTGCGTTGGCACATTTTGTATATCCATCTGTTGCCAATGTATATAAGAATATAAAACACTCTTTTCTTTAAATGTAATAATTGTCGTATTTCCTCTTTCGTCACTCGAAAAGAAAAAGTAATACGATATGGTGTATGTCATCATCATATTCTCATCTACAGCCTTCATCAATAGACGATTGTGTTGTAATACAATAAGACTTTGTGAAGAAAGGAAAGAAAAAAGAACAGCCTAGGGGGCACCCGGGATTGAACCAGGGACCTCTCGATCTGCAGTCGAATGCTCTACCACTGAGCTATACCCCCCATGCCATGAAATATTTCGTTGGACAAGTCATTTTACAATTTTACATGACTTTTTCACATGTAAATGGAATTATTCGACAATGAAGAATGAAAAAAATTCTCATCGTTACATGTATACATCAGAATAGAACGATACATGTTTATTGAACAACAAAGAAAACGTACGAGTTCAATTTTATTATACCTACAGACTATTATAAAAAAATCATCAATATAATGAAGAAAAATGATATATTAATTTTTAAATTTAAGAGTAGATGTAAGAAAAAATCTAAATTTATTTTAATTATCCGTTAATCTATTGTGTTTTTTCAAAATTTCACGAATTCGTTCATGTGGTATAGCATAAACTTTATTTCCATATATTCCTTCCATAGTTTTTGCTGATATCATTGCATTTAAAATAGCTTCTTCAGTAGCTTGAGCGACACTGTCGAATAGAGGAGTCATTTGTTCATTAGGTAACATTTCTAATTGTACTACTCCTGTTTGTTTTCCCATTGCTTGATGATTAGCTGTTGAGAATGCAACAAAAATATCACCTGAACCATTTCCACCTCGTGCTCCAACTAATCCCATTCCAATTGGTACACGACGAGCAAGTCTTTTTAATTGATGTGGTAAAAGAGGTGCATCGGTAGCAACAACTACAATTATTGATCCTGTTTCGTCAAGTTTTTCAATATTTTTT